TGGACGTGGGGACGGAGGGAGCACAGCTGTGATTTCTCCAGGCCACTTCCTTCATCTCCCCCTCCACTGTGTGTGAAGCAGGGGACTACTTCCGTGTCAGGGGTCAGCAAACTGCATCCTGGGAGTCATATCTGGCCCATTTCTGTCTTCACATGTCCATGAGCTAATAATGAGTTAGAGTAATTTTTTAAGTATTTATGTTTAAGAAAATCAAAGAAAGAATAATATTTCATGCCAGGTGGTGAAAATTCTGTAGAATTCAAACTCCAGTGTCCCTAAGTAAAGCTTTGTTGGCTGATAGTTCTGCTCAATCATTTTGTACTGTCCCTGAGGACTGAGACTCGGGAGGCCTCCCGGGAAGGTGGCCCCATCCCACAACCCACCACACTAACTATCTGCCTTGTTACAAGCAAACATCTGCTGACCTCTGGCCCACGTCATCTGGAATCTTATTCCAGCTTGGAAAATATAATAATGCAACGTCCTTGTCAGGGCCACACTGCTGACCCATTACTCCTCCACTGTCCGGCTGGTCATTCCCTTTGGACATGTTTTAGAGGTCACACTTTTTTTCTGCACTGAAAAAATAAAGGCCAAACAAAATAAAAATTTCCATTATCAAGGGCAGTCACTAATATAACTTGATCGATTTGATGGATGAATTGATGTGTAGCCTTTTTCCTTCTGAGAGGAGGTTGTATATCTAGCCAGACCCCACACTTGAAGCCTATAAAACTAAGTGGTAAGAGATTGGTTAACTGTGGTCCCACATGATAGTGTCATTGCATTCTAGTAGCTATTCTCCGGCACTGTATTATTGAATCAGTAATTCAGCCAACTTATATTTATTAAGTATTTAATACGTCCTCTAAATGTGCTTAAGAAAGGTATACAGGAGAGTCCCTACCCTCAAGAAGCTGACCTTCCAGAAGGGATGACGAGGGTAAAGAGCCAAACCACTCAGGATGGACCCAACATTCCCGTGGGGCCAGGGAGAGAACATTTGGTAGAGCAGAGACCTGGATTCCATGCAGGAGTCAGTGACACTCAGCACTGTGGTGACAGGTGAGCGGGCCCCAAGGGTCTAAGCCCAGCATGTCTAGAATGGAGATGCTGGTTGAGTAGATGGCTCCTGACACATCCCCAGCTTGAGGCTGCATGACACTATGGGGATATCATCTCTGAAACTGTGATGAGCCTAGCAGGAGGGGCCGTGTGCACAGGGGACAAGGTTGCCACCTTCACAGGGAGGGTACAGTGTGAGGAGGCCCCTCAGGAAGGCCTGAGAAAGGGGCGGACACCATGACCCTTCTTTCCCACCACTAGAATGACACGCGACACCGTCACGCGGCACCAGGTCTTAGCTCACTTCCGTCACTCGCACTTTGCTAGGAAATCCCCATATTCTGCCTGAGCAGGCGCTTCCCTCATTTTGCCAGTTCCCTGTTCGCAGCCCGAGCCCCCCGCTGGGCACTGAGGCCGGGAGAGAGTGGTGAGCACAGGCCTGAGGAGGTGGGGGCCTCTGAGGCCTCGAGGCAGGTGGAATTCTCCAGGGATTTATGAACCAAATCTTTCTCTTGTTTCAGGAACTGGATTCAGCAACCATTTGTAGAGTCTACTGATTCCTGAGGCCATACCACAGGTGCTAGAGGATGATGCCCCATAACTGGCTGTTGGGTTCAGCAACGGGCCCAGGGCTTCATCCGTGGGTGTACACGGTCCTTCTAGGAATGCCCCACCCCTGTCTTCCAAAATGTGTAGGTTCTCATCAATTGGCAGCACACCTGGTCATTCCTGGAGCCTGTCCTCCAAAGAGAGTACTGTCTGACTCCCTCCAGAACCCTTCTTTGGAGAAAAGATCAGGGAGGGGAAGTCCATGTGATTATCTCTCGTAGATGTCACCGTGTTGACTTAAGGCTTTTATCGAGCTAGATCCTGGAAAACTCCGTGCAGTTGTGCTATGTTGTCTTTGAGTTTTATTGGGAGTCATTATGGAAAACAGTCCTGTCAAATTCTATCTGCATCGTTTGGAAAAGCCAGGCTCTTGGACTTTATCCACGACACTAACTATCTCACCCCAGAAACCTTGCAGCATGTCCTCTCTTTAAAAAAAATCAAAACAAAAATAAAAACAAGCATTTATGGTTGGCCATGCTTTCCCTTTGCCGTGGCTGCGGGAGACTCAGGCCTCGCTGACAGTGGGGTGGAGTGGAGGCGGGGGGGGGGGCGGTTGGCGAGGGGGGGATTCCCCAAGCCTGGTGGCTAGTTGATTTGCTTCCTCTTCTCAAGACTGGGAACTCCCTGGCTCATCAGGCTTTCAAGCCATGTGGGAGAGTCCCACAGACTCTCCCAAGGAGCATCCTCAGAGGGGAGCCTTGTTTAAGGCAAAAATAGGCATGGGGACACCTCACTGTCTCTGCTTCTGCATTCACGTTCATTCAGTCTTGAGTGAGACTCAGGTCCAGAAAGGAGGGGACAGACCTTTTATTTTGGGTCTATGGCTACAGTTTCTAGAACAGCAACGCGTTCACAGCAGAAGAGGGGCGGGTGTTATGAGTGGGGGACATCTCACAGCATCGTGCTTTGGCCGTGTTTCATCACAGAGGTGTCCTGGCCCTCCCCTCGACGCCTTGGTCTGTAATTCCACAAGTGGAGACGACCCTCTGGCGTCCATCCATGCATCCTCTCTCTTCAGTCACAGAGGAGGAGGCTCTTAGAGAAACAGCCGTGCCTGGGTCCCCGGGCTGACCCTGGACCGTGGTCCAGTGCCGGAAATCGAGCAGAAGCACCATAAGCATGAACCGGTGCTGGGCTCCGCCCACAGGTGCAGGCAGTGGTGAGTCAGCCTCTCCTGCCTCAGTTAGCAAGGATCTGTTCTTGATTCTGAAGTTTGTTTGGGGATTTTCATTCTTTGATTTAAAGGATAACACAAATTAATTCTCAGGCATAATAACAGTGCTCATTGTATATCTGACTATCTGAACGTGGCCGGGACCTTCCCAGTCGCCACCCAGCTTAGTCAGTGTGTGCTAGTTACTGGTGCCCAGGGGCAGGCTATGCTGACTCTGGCCGCCGCTGTGCCAGCGTGGGAACCAGGAGGACTCGGGCTGGGCCTGCCCCGGCTGGGAAAGCCCCTCCGTGTGGTTTTGAGGCCTGCACCGGGAGCACATGGCTTCCCTGGGCTCCTGGCTCTGCTTCCATTCAGTGCCCCCTCCAGTGCCAACCTTGGGCCTACCATGAAGCCACGGAACTTGGGAAGAGGTCCCTCAGGCGCTGGCCGGGGTCCTCCTGAAAAATGGCCCTTGGGGTGTAGACAATTCCTGGGCTGTCTGCATTTTCCTGGCCTGTTGTACAGGTGGGAAGCTCAGAGAATCAGTGACAGGTGTGGGATTTTGTACCTGTTCCTCAAGAGCGAGGATGGAAGACCCACATCTGCTGGATTCAAAGACAGGAATTCTTCCCACACTATGACAGGACTGCTGTTCATTCTGTACCGTCCACCATGGCAGGCAGACCCCGTGGACCCTGGCCAGACGGACCACCTCAGCCAGCCACCTGTGCAAAGGCCCAGCTGCCCAGAGGCCCGGCTGTCCAGAGGCCCAGCTCACCCCAGCCCACTCACACCCCCGCCTCCCGTTTGTAGATGTCTGAGGGCACATTGCTGTGGGCAGAAAGCTCTGCCCAAGAAAGACAAGGCCGCTGAGCACTCAGGGCCGTGCAGTTCCAGGGGCCAGCCGGGTGCTGGCTGCTGAGCTGGACGAGCGAGTGTTGCTTCTCATGTGCTGAGGTCTGAGGCAGGTGCTGGGAGTGGCTGCCTCTGTTTCTCCACTCTGCTCTCAACTGGGTCACGGTGGCTGACCTCTCTCCTGGCAGGTCATGCTTCCCTCTTAACTGTCCTGAAAGTGAAGAGTGTGACCCCACCTCGCTGGGTCCCTGACAGCCAGCCGGTGAAGCCGGGGGTGTCTTAGGCCTTGCTCAGAGACACAGGGCCCAGGTTCCGGATGGAGAGTCCTGGGAACTGACCACCAGCGGCGTGGCTTCCCTGGGCACTGGCCCTACAAGGGTGCATGGCATGGCGTGTGCCCCTGGGGCCCAGGCTGGACCCTGGCCCTGGCCTCCACGCACCGTGCTTTGAGCCTAGGACTATCTCCGAGGTCAGAAACGTCTCAAGCGAGGCGCTCGGGTGACGGGCGTCAGACCCTGGCCAGACTCCCAGCTGAGCAGAGGTGGAGCCAGGACTCTGGATTGGAGACCCCACAGCCAGGCACCCCACCCCCTCCCGCCTGTGGGGCTGCCAGCTGGGAGCCCAGGCAGAGGGCGGCTCTGGATGCAGCCGAGCGTGTCTGCTGGGGAAAGCTTTAGGAAACAACGCAGGAGCTTAGATAAAACCAAACCGAGGAGGCGACGGGGCAGAGGGCACGCCTGTGGCTGGGCGCGGGGGGGGGGGGGGGGGGGGGCCGGCTCCCCCAGGAAGGGGGCTGTGTGTGGCCGCGGTCCCCAGGCCCTGCGCCCTGTGCGTTCAGCCGCGAGCAGCGGCAGCTCCGAGCATGCCCTCTCCTGGCGACGCGTCCAGCTGCTTGCACGCAGCGCTGAGGCCGGACGTCTGGTCTCTTCCAGATCTCGGGGAGATGCTCTCTGGGACATAGTTTCCCTAAGCAAACACCGTGGCCCTCTCTTGCCCCTCCAGCCCCCTGAGGAGGGCAAAGTGAATTATTTTAGTAAGGGGAGAGGGACCTTTTACAGACTCTTTCTCCTTGTTTTTTTTTTTTTAACCCCGAATAATACTCTCTATGTCATCTGTATATTTATGATAGCTCAAAGACATGGGTGTGTGGATCTAATTAAAAATGTGAAAGGGTTTAGCAGCCTGCTGCTTCTCTGCAACTCTCTGGTTGCCAAATCTTGGCAGTCGTGTTGAAACGGAGCCAAATGTTTAGTGTTCAGCTGAGTGGCTGCCAGCCCAGCGCTGCATTGTGGGACCAGGAGCTGGAGGGGCCGCATTCAAAGGCAGGGGACCCGGACCCAGCACCCCAAGGAGCCCGAGAGGAAGCCGCTGGGCCTGGCTCTCCCCACCCCGCGCCGCGGGCCAGGCAGGCACCCAAGGTCAGTCAGGGCTGCAGGGGCAGCGGGAAAGTGCTCTGAGCTTCTGCTGGACTTGAGTTGACACGGGGCCTCTTCGGGGGTCAGTGCCCAGCTGCTGTCAGCGGCAGGGTCTCAGTGGACACCGGCTAGTGTGTTTCCAGAGAGTCGCAGGCCTCTCCTCTGTGAGTCTGAGCTGCCCGGCGCCTTGTCCATTGTTCCGTGGATTCCCAGACTCTGGGGCACACCCCTCGCCCGGGCCTGTGCAAAGGCAGCTTCTCGTCGAAGAGAGGGAAGGAGGCTGTTCTCGGCACTACCCACCTCCTGGGGGAGGAATCCAGTCTCCAACGCTCGTGGATGCCAGGTTGGTGGGTTCTGGAAAATGCTGCTGGGTGACCGAGAGTCAGAGAGAACACTGTGGGGGAGCCCTGGCCGCTCAGCACCCCTCAAGGCATTGACAGGACAAGTGAAACTGACACACGAGACAACAGGGGCTGCTTTCTCTTTCCTCCAAATATGCCAACTGCGAACCAGCGTGGGAGGGGAGGGGAGACTGATCCTTCTGCACAGAAACACGCCCCTGCGCGGGAAACTGGCCCCTCAAGCCGCAGAGATGTGCTGGGAGCGGGGCCTGGGGAGATTCCGCTTTCACCTTATACCGTCTGTGATATAATTGTTCGTGTAATAGAGGATGAGCCACACCTTATGTGATTAAAGTAAAGGGGAGGACAAAACAGGTGGGCACCCTGGAGGGAGGGTCGGAGATCCATGTGTGGGGTGGGTGGGCAGGAGAGGGCCTCGAGTTTGAGGTCCCTGGGATGGAGCCGGCTCTAATGTCAGTTTGGGCTGCTTGCCGGTGTTCCTGCCTCTGCTCCCCCCCTGCAGAATGGGGTGTCTGTGCCTTCAGTGTAGGAGCGGTGAGGGTAGAACATGTGTAGGTGGGCAAGGGGAGGGTCTCCTCACCAGGGGCAGAAAGGCCCTGAAAGCCAGAGCCCCTCCCCTAGGGCCAGGGGGACATTTGCTACGAGGAATCCTCACTTTTTTCTAGGGTATTATCCCAGATAGAATTTCATCCCAGCAGACGGCTCCTGAGCACAAATATATTCTAAAACCTCTGGACGGATGCTAATCGTTTCGGAAGTCGCCAAGGCACCTTCATGATATCAGAGCCTAGGAAAAAAAAAGAGAGAGAGAGAGAGAGAGACTCCAGGGACGGTTGAGACTTCTCTTTCTTTGTGTTGGGTAAATTTACAGAAATGAAGTTTAAAATGACATGTCAAATAGATCCCAAGTCATCATAATTTAGCAGCCACTTTCTTATGAACAATAAGACACGAGAAGTGAGGGCGTCAGAGGATGACAGAGCAGGTGCCTGGACGTTCCGGGGGGAGGAGGGAACATCTCCAATCCCGGGTGGCCCACATGCCGCCCTCTCTGTGGTCTAGAGAACGCAGAGCTGGCTCTCTCTGGGGTGCAGAGGGGGAGAAAGAGGGGACTTTGGCTATGAGGAAACCTCTTCTTTTTCTAGGAAAATTCCACTCCAAGAGATTCCTAACATGTGGGCAGGTGGTTGTCTAACCCACCGAGGGAAGATGCTCCAGGTAAACAGCTAATTAATTAAAGAAAACCTCTCTCCACCCCAACCCTGAAAACACACTGCAAATGAGACACACAAGTGCGCGCGCAAACACACACACTTTCAATAACGCTTCCAGGCAACTGACTGCAACGCAGCGCCTCGTGCGTTAAGACCTACAAACCTGAACCCCCATCCGCGTCCTCCCATAGCTGCGTGACCACAAACCCTCGCTCTCCCAAGCCACATTTGTTCCAACTTAATATTCTGGTGCTTTCGGGAACAACATTTAAAAATAAACCATTTTGGCACATTGTCAAAGTCTTGTCTAAATTCCTTCCTGACAACCACCCTGAGTGAGATTTTAAAAGCCAGCAGGAGTTGGGGGGAGGCAAACTGGAGTCCCCGGCCTGGAGTTACAATTCCTGACAGTGTGGGGGAGCGTGTGCTCAGCGTTGCTCCCTGCCCCTAGTAGCCTCGCTTGCGTGGGGCGGGAGTGTCCTCCTGCTCCCGACTCCCACTGCTGTGTCTTCTGTCCCCTCCCAGGGGCCTGGACCCCTGCGTGGTTGGTGAGGCAGCTTGGGTACCTTGACACCTTTTGGCAGCTGGCCCTGGCTGGCCACCAGAGCGAGGGGACTGGAGAGGGCGGCCTCCGGCAGGTGTTAAAATGGTGTTCCTGTCCCCAGCCGTGAGGGCTGCAGAACACCCTGGCTCTGCTCCCTCCATCCACAACCTGCTCTTCTTGGTCTGTTGCTAAGAGACCAGACTGTTGTTTACAAGATCTGCCGTGGCGTCAACTTCCATAATTTATAATTTATTATCTCAGTGTCAAAACTTGTGTTGGTTTTTATTTTATTTCTCCATAGAGCTAATAATTGTTGGAGGCGACAAAGGTCAGCTTGCTGTCTCGGGCACCGGCCGCTCCAATAGCGTCCCGGCTGGCCCTGAGTTGAGGTGACGGGACTAAAATGCTATTATCAGCTGAAGATGAATATCATTTTTTGTCCATTAACTTCTGCGTGGTGCTATGGCTCAGGCGAGGGGATCCCTCCAGATTTGCCCACATTGAAAACAGGTTTCTGGCCGACCCAGAAGGAAATGAATTGAAATGATTTCAATTATCACAAGAAAGGAGTCAAGCTTCCTTGCTGTAAACTTGAGCACCGAATAGTTCAACTCAGCAATCTTCTCCCCATGAAGTTCAGGGCTGCAGTGCTAGAAATTTCTTGGGAGTCCCTTTTGGCTTTAGCAGTTCACGAGAACACCTTTTCAGGGCACCGCCGGGTCAGCTCAGCTCATCAGTCAGTTCCAGGAGGAGGTGATGGTGGTCAGGACTCGTTTCAGCCACACACCTGCTACAGAGAAGCCACATGGGCGTGTCAGGGCCACCGCCGGGCAGGTGCAGAGCCAAGCTCAGCCGAGAGACGGACACAGACTCAGGCCAAGCCCACAAAGACAATTCTACTATCAGTCCTGTCTTAGAGACAATGTCAGGACGCGGTGCTCTTTAAGGAAAGGCAGTACTGAGTCCAGACTGAGTGATCCCAGAATCAGTTCCTCATAGAGACAGAAAAGCAAACCAGCCTGGGCTTTGCAGCACCTCGTGTGCCCAGGAGAAGCCATCACCTCGGGAGGCGCGGGGGCGTCACAGGGCTCCAGAACCGTATCACCGCATTATCTCTCTCTGCAGAGTTTTGGGGTCTCTCTAGAAACCACAGAGCATGAGGCATTTCTAGGAAGGGTGTTTTATTTTCCCCATCAGAGAACCTGGCAATTTCTAATGGCATTTTACTGGGAATTAGGTTTCTTGTTTTCCAGAAAGCAATTATGGCAATCACCCAGCCTGGCATTTTCACCACCTAATTCCTTTCCAGGCCCCGGAGTGTTGTGGCCAGGGCAGTACAGGGCACAGGGCTCCCCCGATCGTCTCCTGGCAGGGCTGGCAGTACCATTTTTCGCTGTTGTGGTGAAAAGAGATAAACGGGCAGGCTGGAGACCATGGACTATCAGAGAAGCAGGCAGTTACAGCTAGGCCCTTCTCACACGCGCTGTTTGCCTTTTTCCCCAGTCAGGTGACTTTGGCGTGTTTTAGAAGTGAGACTAGACTCATACATCGGGACCAGCAGACACACCCAGAGCCATGGCAAATTACCCACCAAGGTCCTTTGATCCCACAAAGCAATGTGGGGATCCTGCTTGTTGGGGATTTCACTGGGCCCCACATTATTTTTAAGATCCCCCTGGATCCGGAATCTTCTTGAGGGCGGGAAGGGGGCTGTCCATCCTCAAGTGGTGCAATCTTCATGCATGGGTTTAGCATCAAGGACCAGGGACTGTGGGGTAGACTCCCAGGTGAGGGCTTAGCCGCGCTGGGAACCAAGGCAGGTGTTTTCCATCCTTGGATTATTCCCAGCTTCTGCTTTCACAGACGCTACCACCTTCTTCACCAAGAGATGCTGGAGATTCAACAACGGAGGCACCAAAGAATCTGGGAGAGCAAAGTATACAGTGATGAACATCACTGCTAAATCTGTGGGGCCCAGTGAAATCCCCAACAAGCAGGATCCCCACATTGCTGTGTGGGTGACCTTGGTGAGCATGTCCTTGGGGACAGGTGCACCCACACAACCCACACCACAGATTGTGGGGGCCAGGGGCTGGGAGCCTGAGCTACAGGCTACATGTCACAGGAGACACATTGTGTAAGCCAGTCCTCAGAAATACACACCTACGTCTAGGGAGATCCAGATTGATATGTGACCTTGGAATATGTCAAGTCTTTAAGCCTCATTTTCCTTCTCTCTAACATAAAGATATAACTGTCATCTCACCTGGGGAATGAAGAGAAGTGGTATGTGGCACCTGTCACCCCAAAGATGCTCAGTGGATGAGGAAGGAAGGAGATGAGGCGTGCCCGGGACCCTGTCCCAGCTGATGCCTCACCTCTGGCTGTTTATAGAAGTTTCTAGAAGGAGAGATACTTATTCATTAATAAGAAAGGATACTTAGACTATAAGCTCACCGGGCTCAGAGATGAGGCTTTTGCGATGTCAACCGGAGCCTCTCCCAACCCTCCCTCTGATTCCACAGTCTGAGCCATCGGCTTTGGGCGTCTGGTTGGATCCACGCAATTCAGCAAGTAGCACGTCAGGAAGTAGCAGGGGCAGCTGACTGTGTTGCCGGGATAAAGCTCAGCTCTCAGTGTGATCAGTGAAGTCAGAGAACACTGATGTACAGAAGGAAGAGCCCCTTGGGAGCCAGACTGAGTTGGGCTAGAAATTCAACGCCGCCAATGTTAAACTGTGACCATGAGAAAGCCGTTAGCCTTTCCAGGGGTGACTTCCCAGAGTTAGCATTGACCTGGACTGGTCACATGGGAAGGCATGAGACACAGAGGCTGGGGGAGGACAGCTTTCCTCCCTTCCACAGACTCAGAAGGACGAGGATACCGATGAGCCTGGGTCCTGGTCTGGGGCTGATGACCCTTCTTCGGGGGGAGTCAGATAGAAAGTGACCACCAAGAATTGAGAATCCTTTCTTTGCTCAAATCCTGGCATGCATCTATTTGTTATTTTATTTTATTTATTATTTTATTTTTTTAGGAAATACCTAAGTGGGTAGTAACTGAACTTCTATTTCTGACCCCCTCTAAAATGCCCACCTCTTGTCTTCCTAGAAGACCAGAGCCCTGCACACCCAGATGCCCAAGCCAAACACAGAGACCTCACCAGTGATGCAGGGCTCTCAGCAGCCCTTCCCTGCCCCTCCCGGAAGAACAGCTAAAGTCCATCGATTCTTCTACCTAAACGAGTCTCCCTTACTCAGTCAATCATATCCGGGGCAGTGACTAGCCGTGCCTCTAGTCAGACTTACACATGTGCTTCACCTGCTTCTAAAGCTCTGAAGATCCCGCCTGTGTTAGGGAGAGCTCACACTCCACAGCTCAGACTCCTCCTCCACACCCAAGAGCCGCACCTTCCCTGTTTCCCCTCACACAGCTCTGCTAGTGCACCACGTCACGGTGCACCATGATCTTGACTTCACAGGACGTAGCCCCTGTCTTAGGCATCACTCAGGTGACTGGCCAGTTTTGGTTCCGTCCTGCATGACCATGTGACTCCCTCTTTTCTTTCCCAAAAAGTTTCTGTTGAGTCTTCAAGACACAACCCGGATGTCACTTGCCCTCAGACATCTTCCTCACTTCTCTGTGTCCACAAAGCCCAGCCCGTGAGCCTCTGAAAGCTCCTTCTTGCTGGTCCAACTGTCCTCTCGATTCCCTTTCCAAGTTTGCCTTCCTCTAATAGCCTTTGGATGCTGGTGATCCGCAAGGACGGCCTATGGAATTCGCAGAGGGCGCCTTCTCCCCATGTCTGGGACTCCCTGCCCCAACTGCACTCAACACTCAGTGCTGATGTTGCCAGAACTGGTCTCTACCCCAACTTCTCCTGACTCCCACTCATGTAAGCCTCACCTGTCTTGCGACATTGCTATTTACCACACCCTCAAACTCAAGAGCTTCAAACTCATTTTCTTCTCATTTCCTTTCAATGTCTATTCCCTTTGAATTCTCTGATGCATAGCCTCATTGTATACCCAGTGCCCAAGAAACCTAGATTCTTCTCTGATCAGCAGCCATCCCATATGATTAAACGAGACTCCTTGGTGCTTCCTTCTCCATTGCTTTCAAATCTGTCCAATCTCTGCAGACGACCAGCACAGCACATCACTCCACCTCTGTCTCATTACTGGAATTCTGCAACCAACACCTAACCCATCTCCTCTTCACCCTTCTCACCCATTCTCCATGTAACAGTCAGGATGCTTCTTCCAAAACACAAGACTCTGCCATGCCATCTTTCTGAGATTCCCCAGCGGTAGCCCTGCTGGTTCTAAAAGTTTCTTCGTGGTTCACAAAGATCTTGGCGTGGGTTCTAAATAACTCTGGGTTTCTATGTCTTCTCCCTCCAGGTCAGGCCAGATGTGACTTAACCCTGGAGGTGCCTTGAACTGAACTCTGCTATTTTTGAATCTCAATCCTCTTAGATGCTACACTCTTGCCACGTGCACTGAACGTTTCGTCGCCCTCTAAACCTCCGGTGTACAGCTTACTACTTACAGAACTCCTTTACCCTGGTCTACCATTAAATTCTCAGCACCATAAATGAATCCGTGAAATAAAAGGAAACATGTTTTCTTGTACAAATCAACAATGGTCTCTCTAGATAGATAGATAGATAGATAGATAGATAGATAGATAGATAGATAGATAGATAGATAGATAGATAGATAGATATAGATATATATCTCAACTATATAGATTTAGTTGGCAACACTTACTCCAAAAAAAGCCTTCTTTTACAGCAATCATATTTTTGGCCCTTTCTCCGTACATATCTCTGAATTCACACTCTCACAAATGTACCTGTATTCTCTCTCATCTTCGGTCCAAACTTCTTCCAAGAGAGACTTTATATCTAACTATGGCTGTAAATATCCTAGCTGTCTTTCCACTCCCAAAACTCTGCTTCGAGAATACACACATGATTGTAGGTCCTCCCTGGTGGCGCAGTGTGTTAAAGCACAGCATTGTGAAGCTGGCAGCAGCCGCTTCGGTGCCAGTTCGATCCCCACCTGGGAGGTGACCTGCATGGCACAGCAGACCTCGCCTGACCCGTCCGCTGCTCCCCTCAGCAGTGTCCTCTGTCGACCTGCCTGTTCTGCTCCCCACTCTGATTCTGATGAATCTTTTCATCACCCCTGCACCTCTGGCATGTACACTGGTTCCGTATGCATAAACCAAAAATGAATCTTTAAAAACGAGTGCACACATGATTGATTAGTATGAGTCAAACTTTGTAGCTGATGTTGCCTGGCCATCATCAGCAGTGGTGAACTAGGCTAGCAGTCCTCGGTGTTATTCTCCCCTGCCCACATGTGGCTCCTCCCTTCCACAAGCATTTTGGACAGTTTCTCAGAGAACGTGATAGATTACCCTCAAATCTGAACTCCTTGTAGGAAAATAATCCCCTAGCCCTTCCCATCCTTTTAGTGTTTTTGCCCAAACAACCTACATTTCAACATTTACTGTTTGGATTTTGTAGTTGTAGACCCTGTGCCAGAGCGAGTAATTCCCCAGCCCTTTCACCTTCACGAACCTTCTGTTTCCTCCCTGGTCTCCTTCCGCTGTCACTTACCACGAGCATTTATAGTCTAAATGCTCGTGAAAGGCAATCTCAAACTTTTAAAATGATTTTGGGGCCCTCCCTGGTGGTGCAGAGGGTTAAAGCACAGCACGTAAGAAACTAAAGCCACTTCAGCGTGAGTCCGATCCCCTGCCCCAGAGGTGACCCACATGGCGAGGCAGACCTCTCCTGACCCGCCCGCTGCTCCCCTCAGCAGTGGACTTCATCAGTGAGCCTGTTCTGCTCCCTGCTCTGTCTCTGGTGAATCCTCTCACTACCCTGCACCTCTGGCCTGTACCCCAGTTCTGTATGCATAAATAAATAAATCTTAAAAAAAAAAAAATGAATCCGGCCCTCTTGATCCCCTGCCTTGAATCTGCGTGCAGCCGTCCCACGCCACCCAGTTGAAATGGCCCAGGTCAGCCCAGGTGAGTCTCCCCAGAGCAAGAGGAGCCTCCCCTTCTGGCTGGCCTTAGGATTCATGGTCGAGAGTCATGCCCCATGCCTATCCACTCCTAGGAGGCCCAAGGAATGGCCCCTGGGGCTGCCCCTACCCCCAAGTGGCACACTTACCCGAAAGCCCAGCATCCTGTCAGCTGGTGATTACACCTGAAACTTGAATGCCAACAACTGGCCTTTCTCCTTGGAAGTTTCTCTGACTTCTGTCTCCACTCTGGTTAAAAACACTGTGCTCTCAAAAGTGATTGATTTGAGCATTTTATCGTTAACACCATCCTGTTTAGAAATCACCAGAGATTCCACCATCCCTTCTCCCACATGAAAAGCTGTTTTGAAATACCTTGAACTGGACTTGAGAGAAATATGAGTGTGACATTTGAGGTCTGATAACTTGGGTCTCCTTCCTCTACTGGCACCTCACTGGACTCACACTGGGCCATTCATCCTTTTCTGCCTCAATTTCTTCATCTGCTAAGTGGGTAGAAGATCCTGTCTCTATTGGAGAAAAAAAACGCAAAAGTAACTCCAGAGCATTCTATGACCTTGCAAGTGCTATGTAAGCAAACCAGATGAACTTCAGGAATCTAAGCAGGATGGCACACCCAGCTGTGCTTCAGAGCTTTTATGTCCAGATGCAGAGATACTCCTTAAAGAGGGTAAACTATTAACTGAAAATGGAGGGGAAGTTTGGGGAAGAAAAAAAGGAGACTTCGACATGTCGAGGTGAACGCTTGTGGCTCTATCTCATGGTTTGTTTTGCTTCTTGTAGAGCAGGAAGTCTACAATGAGTCCTCACTGGGAAACATACCTTTGGCTGGCAAGGGTTTTGAGTGGAACTTGTCAGGAAATTGGAGGACTAACAGAGCAAGAATGCCGCCCCAAAGTTGGCAGTGGAGTTTGGTTCCCACCCTTCGGCAGGAAGGCCTGGACGCTGGGTGGGTGTCTGCAGAATGCTGCGGCTGGAGAAGGGAGAGGGGTGTGGGAATCACCGTGGGCTTCCTGGAAGAAGTGTGCTTCCTCCTGGGTCAGGGTGCACCTAGACCTAGAGCACCACACTGAGAGTGCATAAAGGTATGGCTCTGTAAGTTGAATTTGAAACTGAATTTATATCAGGGTTCATCGCGATCTCTGCATCGGATGTCTGGCCCTATCCGCCCCTTGCCTTCGTCTTGCTTGCAACTCGGTGCCCTTCTAGCCTCAGCTGAGGGTCTCACGGCCCCTCCTCATTGGCTGATGGGCTCCCCATCCCCTTGCCTCATCAAAGCAGCCATCACAAGGCCTCTGACCTGTGTCTTCCCTCCGCAACCATCACCTGACCGTCGCTGGTTTGCCTTCAGTGACGGGCTCCTGCCCCAGGGCCCCTCCTGCATGCCATCCCCTCCCAGGCATGTGGAGCCTTCCTGGGGCTCTCAGGGTGCCCCTGCAAGGCCCCCACCAACCATCAGGCCACATGGGGGCTCCTAAGTTCGCTCAACAGCTTCTTTACTGCATCAGGTGAAGAAGGCTGGAGAGGCCACACCAGGAATTCCCTTGGTTTTGCCATAAAATATGGTCAGTTTAAGTGGCCTCATTTTCCTGCCTAAATGGCTGTCCCCTGGGGTGACAGAAAATGCTCTTTTAGCCTGGCTAACCGTTCTGCGCCTCCGGGCCCCCTGAGCCCCGGAGCGGATGGTGGGAGCCCATTAGCTCCTCACCTTCTGCCCTTTCTGGTCTCGCCTGCACCCCATCACTATGCCTGGGTCTTTGTGTCTCCAGAGGTGCTCAGCACTCTCTCTCAGCTCCAACGGGAGGCACACAGGGTCAAGCAGTCCCCTCTCTTTACCCAGTGAGCCTCTCTTTCCTCTGGAAATCATGAGGACTGAGGAAAGCCGTGGATAAGGAGCAATATGCTGGCACAGAGCAGCACGAAGGCCAGGAAGCCCAGTCGCAGCCCGCCACCCCCTCAGGCTCGGCACCCCTCCATGAGCCCAAGGTGCCATGGAAGGAGGGGACTAGCCCGCCTCTGCTGAGATGCTGCCGCCCCAAAATCGGTGTGGCCAGCGCACCCTGAGAAGCACCAGGGCCCAAAGTGGCACCCGCTGCCACAGTTCCTGCCATCCGTTCCATCGGGCCAGTGAGCTCGAGCCGCCACGTGCGTCCAATTAGGAAGCCACAGCACAGGGTGGGCGCAGGGCACCCTCCGCCCTGGTCCTCTGTGAACTTCTGGAGCTAAGGGGCGTGATGAGGCACAAGGTTCCATTTTTTCATGTTGACAGCATGCTGCAGTGGAGGGAAGACGAGGTCCAGGGCAAGAGGCTGTGCTCACGGTGGCCCTTCGGCCATTTCCAGCCTTTCCCCCGGACGGTAAAGAAACACGGGATAAACGAGCCAGTTCGTAGCAGATCTTTATCCTGGGAGAGTCGCTATAAAGCCTACCCCGCCTTTGGTCAATGTCACTTCAATTTAAAGAAACTAACTGCGGCTCATAAGAATGGAATTTGTTCATCGATTAATCTATACCCACGGAGCGCCGCGTACCCTATGATACCATCGCACTGAAATAGAATTTTCTCCAAACTCTACGTGTCTGGTCATTTTAAATCTAGACATGAGGTAATTATTGCCAGAAGTATTCATTAAAATGTGAACATCAATAAGTAAAAGAGAACACTCCTGTCTTGTGGTTAAAATTCTAGAAATAAAATACAAAAATAAAGACAAAACAAAGTCTACACCTTCCCTGTTATTCCTTTTTTTTTTTTTTTTCCAGAATCAGATGCTCTGCCTCCAGGGAATAGTTATTTCTCCCTCTCTGATCAAGGTGCAGCAGGAGGGGGCTGTAGCTGGAGGGGCAAGTGTCCACCTGGGAGAGGTTCTGGTCCCTGAAGCAGAAGGCACAGTTCCGTCACCTGTAATTTCCATCACAGACTAATGTCGGGCCCTCAGACGTTGTTTACGGGGGTGAGGGAGGAGGGGGGAACTCAGGCCATACAAAAGGACAACATACGATTCTTTCCAAGTGGAACACAGTGGCACAGAAACATGGCCGCCACGGGGTGACTCTCTCCCACTGGGCGTGGTATAGAGTCTGGGGCAGGGAGGCGAGAAAACGGAGGCCGAAGCTGCTGTTGACAAACTCTTCAGTCAGGCTGCGGGTGGAAGGGCACAGCCAGGATCTGGTAGAATTTCAACATCCGTCGAAAACACAAGTCACATGAGCTCTCCTTACACCACTGACTCTCCCCATGAATGCACCAGGGAAAAGGGATTTGGTGGCAAGATCTCATTACTAATTTTGTTAAAGACCCACCTGTGAGCACAGCAACAGAAATAGTCCCTGGGATTTGGGGGGTTTGGCTGTGTGCTCAAGCGTAGACAGCCCTTAATCTAATCGGCTGCTTGACTTTGGGGCCCCTGGTAACACATGAGCTGAGGAGTGGACATGGAGAAGCTAGAATCTTAATAGAGAGGCTGTGGGTGGCCACCAGTTAAGGGCACAGACCCCATAGCTGTCATTAGTCAGCAGACGGTAGTGAGTGATGACAGACCATTGTATTGACAACCTGTCTAGAGAGGCAGGTAAACTCAGGGAATCCTTTCCTTCACCTTGGCTGTATTCATAAGCAGAGACATGGATCTGTTGGGACTTTCTATTAAATTTATCAACCGACATTAAATAGTTGGGAGCTTCTAGCTTCAGATGAGGCTTGATCAAGAGGTTCCAGTTGCTTAGCAAGGCCCTGTCTCTAGATCTCTTCTTTTGTATCCTTCGTTGTTGGTGCCATCTTTGGGCTCTAGGCCACGGTTCCTAGGAATCTCCCTTCCACAGAGTAAAATGACTACCATAGTTCTGCTCCCTTCTTCCCATCATTCCATTCATAGAAAAGTGAAGGTCTACTTCAGTGCCTCCCACTGGGTCCCACGGTCTCTACCTCATGGTGTATTAATGTCCTTGAGAAATCCCATTCTCGCTAGTATGATCTGGACTTAGAATCCA